GCTTGCCTAACTTGTACATCTCTGCTCCGCTCGACCTGGTTTGCGAAGAGCATGTCCAGTGAGGAGAAGAGGGGGAAATGGACCGGCGCGTACTTTATAGCTGGCCTGGGTCCGGGCGGCATGGGCTTTCGAAAAGCATTTTCAAAGATCTCTCTCTCAGCAGCAGCCTGGGACTGAGGACGGACCAGGTTCACTGGCCTGATTTACATCAAACTCTTCATCCAGAAATCCGATTCGTCCATCATGAGAGAATCGAATTCTCGAAGCGAGTCGGCGTCCAAGACCAGATCATCCCAATCGGTCGCCGCGTAGGTGAGAGGGTTGTACGCCGCCTCGACTGGAGCTGTGCCTGTGGCGTCGACGGCGTGCCTCTGCTGTGTGGCAGATGTGGACGACGGCGTGGAGTTGACACCGAATGCACCGATACCGACCACAACAGGTGTGTTCATAGATTGTCTCGGGTCAGATAACGGCTGAGATACTGGTCTTAAATGGGACGTAACATCGATCTCGGTCGGTGACTGCTCAGACCGGTCGCCAAATGCACTGTAGACAGGCCCGTCGCTGTGGCTGTCACATCGTCCGTGGGCGGTGATGCACACCTGTTTCTTGTGCAGATACCAGAACCGGAGCTTGGCCAGCGCCATACCCCAGGTCTTCGCCTGCGGAAGATATCCGTCTTGGACGATCTCCGAGATCTTGCTCAACATTGCATCGAGACTGGGCAAGGCCGAGGCTTCTTCGGAGTGCATGGTCGTGGTCGCGGTCCCGGCTCTCATTGCCTCCCGAAACGGGGTCAGCTTGATGAGAGCTACCGCGGCAGACAGAGTCCACATCAGGTAGTGATTGGGCAGCGATCGAGCCAGGCGAACGTCCAGAGATGTGTATGCGTCGAGCAATGCCTGACTCGAATCCCAGCAGCAGAAAAGAGCCTTGAGGTGCCCGGAGCTCAGCACGTCAACGCTCGCGTGGTAATCTTCGGATCTAGAGCCTGCGAGTAGTCTCTGCATGTAGCACTTGAGCGCGACATGGTGGACACAGATATTTGCAAACTCGGCCGAGCACCTTTTCAAACCTACGGTTGGATTAGTACCGACAATGACAAACCATAGTGAGGCGCTTCAATACTAACGGTCATCAATGAAGCTTGACTCGGATTCCTTCCAGCTTGTTAGTCGCTCCTGAAACCTTCTAAGCTGGTATTGGACGGTCGGACTGTCGAATTCTCCCACCACCGCCTGCTTGTCTCCTGGGTCAAAGGTGTTTGAGACATTATCCAGGACAAGTTGCAGTCGTGCGAGGCTGCAGAGCAGGGCATCCGACGTCCGCACAGAATCCGCAGTCGACAAGACGCTGATGCAAGCTTCCAGCTTGGCCGAAGGAGGCATAAGAGTCTGCTGTCGGAACAATATGGCGTTGCTAATGCAGGGCGGAGACGCGAATATCAGCCAGAAGACGCCACAGCCAATGCAGTCGAATTACCTTGATGCGGCATACCAGCACGCCAGATATGCTCGAGCGGCTTCTCTCGACTCATTTGTACGGGAACTCGGCCCCGGCGCGATTTGTTCCACCATGTCAAGATCACACAACATGGTAATGGCGGCAGAGACAAATTGAGTTGGCAAAGCATGGGGTGATTCGGGATCATGGGTGTAGTACTGAGAATACAAGAGGCATGCCTGGATGAGGTCCATACTTCGTCTGCCCTGTTCAAGAATCTGTCTGGCTAATTGACGTTTCAATTCTTTGACGAGCGGTGACTGGAAGGACGGCAAGATTGAGCCGCTCGCGACGCTCAGAATGGCGAGGAACAGCATCGGTTTACCTCTCCTACATTCCCGCAAGTTGTCCTCCGAGAGTAGCACAATAGGCAAAATGGGTCGCATGGAGTCGTTCCAATGGTTGAAAAGGACCTCCGCGGTTGGCATGTCGAGAAGTCCCTGGTCCACAACATCCAGATCAACCTGGGCGGAACTGTGCCTCGACTGCGACTCTTGGAAGATTTGCCACGTTGGACGTATGGAGGGGATTGAAGCGTCTCTTGACCTTCCGGATGACACTGACTGTGTTGGTGTAGCCAACAGAGTGGGCTCTCCTGGCTGGTCCTGATGCTGTCTCGCTGACAATGCTTGTGAAAGGGACGCAATCTTGCCCTCGAGCTCCCTGATCTTTTGCGATGGATTCGTTCGCGGTTTCGCTGGTCCGGGCCGGACACATGCTCGCGATTTCCTGAGACATGCTTCACAAGAATCCAGGTCACCAATAGAAACACATCTGGTCTTGGTCATTCGGCAAGGGACGCATGCTATCGGGGTCTTGAACCGCCTTCCAGGGCGGCGGACTTCGGATCTGGCATCTGCTGCAGAATTAGGGCCCTCATTGCTTTCAGCCTCAAGGTCCATGTTAGATTTGGGAGTGCATTTTATTTCCAAAAGAATGCATCGATCGGTGGTCGAAAGAGACAAGTCGAATTTGGACAATGAAACAGATTCTGGGATTCGCGGTGTTGCCAAGAACAGCCGCTCAGCCTCGCGCCCTTGATGCATCACGTCGCCACAGCTACTCGGTACACGACTATGTAACTTCATTGCCATATTCGACAGCGCATTTAAGTTTCTCGACATTGTGTTGATACATGTTTACGCCACACTGACTGTGGACATATTCTCTGGCGTCACCTGCACTAAAGAAATGGAATGCGTTCCCACCGCACCTCACCAGCACTAGCTTCTGCAGAACACCCACGGATGTGACTATTGCTCCAGGCAGTTCACTCTGGCATTCCCTGTCCGGTCGTTATCCAACAAGTACTCCTTGATCCTCTTGAGTCCTTCTAAATCCCCTTTCTTGGTCTCCCTGTCTTCCTCGTCGACCCAGCCCTCCGTGTATCCACCCCCGAAATCAATCATGCAGACATTTTCGTTCGCGTCAATGACCATGTTGTTCGGCGAAACGTCACCCCAGACAAAATCTTTTTCGTGCAATAAATGTACCATGTCCTCGATATCACGATACCAGCGTTCACATAGCGCCATGGGGAGAGATAGCCCTTCTGGTCCGTTGACTCGATCTGCTATGGTCCCACGGTTGGGGTAGATGGCGGAGAGTATAAGACCGTTGATAAATCCCCTGTTACCATCCTTGTCATCAAGTACAATAGCTTCTATCTGCGGGCAGCGTAGTCTGTGGCTGAGATTTTCCCGAGAGAGCTTGGAGAGTATATCGATCTCTCGAATATATGGAGGACTATCGACGTAGTCCAAAACCGGCTTAAACCAGCATATGCGGTTGTTGAACATAACGAGGTTGGTATTTGAGGATGTCTGAGAAGTTTGAGCCAAAGTGATGTCTTTTGCTTCGACGTGAGGGTATTCGAGCCAATGCTCAGATTTCCAGACAGTAGCCCAGGGTGGATCCGCGGTTTCCATTTTCTCTGGAGACCGGCTGATCGGGACGAGATGTCCTCCAACTACACGTAGGGTAAAAGACAGAAGCGGAGGGTGAAGGACGTCTTGTAAGGTATTGAGACAAGGTGTTGATGATTCCGGGGCAAAAGTTTCGAAGGTTCTGTGTGTCAAAAATGGTCCCACGGCAAAGGCTATGACAGGATCCTCTTCGCAACCACATTCGCTCGACATCGGAGAGGCGGCCGTATCGAAACGACCACTGCATTCAGAGAAGTCGGTAGCCGCATCGTCTTCGTCGGCTTCAGAAGCTTCCGCAGATTCATCATCACCGAATGAATGTTGAAGCGCATCGAGGTACTGTTGCTCGAAGGGCTGTGAACCGGTTGGACTCGCTGGATCGTGGAGGTCATTTGGTCCAAATTCAATGTCGAATACCCTCCCCCGGAAGCGAGATCTGATCAAAATGTTGTCATCGTCAAGCTTGGTCATGCGGTCAATTGTGTACTCCGGATTCTGCATTTTGTTGGAAGTGACAAATCTGGCTCGCAAAGGACTTTTGGTGGGAATGGGCAGAGTATATATGTGTGTTGAAGCCTGATGAATGTGACATTGGCAGAAATGATGGATAGACGAAGAAGAAGGGAGCAACGCAGGCGCTTGTTAGTGATAACAGTATTTTACATTGGACGCGTCTCAGGCAGGCACGCAGACACGCAGGCACGCAGACACGCAGGCACCCGTGGCACCGAAACGAGGGTGTCACGGTCACGTGCACCGTGTGTTACCCAAGTATTGCCCCTGAATGCCTCGAGCTCGCTGACTAGGGATGAGTTAGACTAGCACCAAACATCACCAGCAAAACCATAATTTATCAACATCGCTCCGCTAACTCAGTCACTCATACCACCTTATTCAACCAGGTCTTGGTCACCTGCTTACGCCCAGTTGCGAGTTTGACATGAGGCTGACCCATTGGAGAGTTAGACGCTCGAGGCCATATTCTGCCAAAGGTCTGGCATTTTTCAGCGAAGAATTGGGCCTGAAATGACCTGCTGATCCGCCCGTATGGGAAATGAGTTTCTTGTCGTGTAACCTGCGCACGCAAGGTGCTTTGTCTAGTATGAATTGATTGGGAAGCATGAGATCCGGCAACGAATCCGGCCTTCAGAGGCTCCTGTGCCCCTGATCCTTGTGAGGAGAAAGGCACCCAGGCATGCGCTGGTCGCCAGTCAACACCAGATTCGTACTGTCAGGTGCACGGTTGCAGACGCCTGGTTTGGTTGATAAAATCAAGCAGGGCGTAGATGAACCCACAGCCACCATGATGGCCAACTAGTTGTTTCAATAGTGTGCTACTTTGTCTCCTGACAGTCGCCGGCCTGGAGGAGTAGCTCTTCCTGCAGATATAGTTCTGACCCTGTTATAAATAAATTAGTTTCTCTAAGGTTCTATCAAACCTCAAACACAGCATACCTTATTCTGCACTTTGTGTGCCTCATGTGTAACACGCACGAAACGTTCTTGCCCTTCAACAAACCACTCATCCCATCAGCATGCCGCCGTGCACTTGCAAGCAGTGGAAAGTTCAATATGCCCAATGCGGCCACACAACACAGCATCCGCATCACAAAACGAGATATTGTCAAGCTGCTCGGAGAAGACAGCAAGCAACCGGCGCCCGGAGGCCATCCCTCTGTCCTGGTGGACCGGCAGAGCGCAGCATTCGCGCCGAACTTGGTTGGTGCCATGGCAACATGTGTCGAGAGAGAGCAAGACAGGAAGGATATCGAGCTTTGGTGCGTGCTAGGAACAATTGCTGGGAGTGCTGCAGGTGCAGAGAGAGGGGCGGTCGCAATCTTTTCTGTATGAACTGTCGACACGACATCTGCCGCGACTGCCGGGCGGCAACGCCGACACCTAGTACACCATCCACTCGAGGTTCACGAGCTTCGTAACATCACCCGTTCACACTCTGGACCAGGACGTTGTACTCCTGGAAGCTACTGTCATCAAATCGAACCCAACACAACGCATGGTTGCTCCCGATTCCGGTCCTGAAGCCCTGCACTTTGTAGGCTAGCTTCCATCATTCCTTCTCCTTCCTGTCAAGGGCGTACGCTCTGTTGTGATCCTTCACTAAATCTATGTCGAGAGAGAAGATGTTGCTGCTGATCAAAGAGTTCTGGTTGGACCTGGGCTCGACGAAGGCATCGTTCAGGGCCACGTGGTCGTTCAAAAACGACGCTCGAAAGTCGCTGACGCCTATGTGGGAGCCGGTGCTTGAGGATATCGAACTGTTTGGCCAAATGTGAAGAGCTGGAAGTCGAATCTGGCAGGAAAAAGAGGGAAAGATCAGCTTAAGTTGCCATTATCATCAACGTGCAAGGCCATACCGTTGAGAGGTACCATATATTTCTAAACACAACCGTTCACGTAATTAATCAAAATCCTTCCAAAGTATCTCCGAAGTCTCTCGCTCTCATAATTGTTGATCCCGCCCAACATAGCTTCCGCATCGATGTGTGCTTCGTCCGCAAGCTGTGAATGTATACCTGCTCTGCAATACCAAAGCGCGGACTCAACTGGTTTCGGATCAGTGTCGAGTCGACTTCCTGCACCAGCTGCCTTGGCTTATTCGAGAAATTCGTAGTTTCTCTGAGAACACTGAAATCTAACTTGGGACATTCCAGCACCAGTATTGGATTCAAATGGCTCATCCTGTAGTCTCTCACTTCATGGAAAGTTGGTTGAATAAGGCATATAGGGTCCAGACGGGGTCCCACAAGGGAAGTACTCTTTGCAGGGTTCGAAGCAGTCATCTTCTGGCAAGATGGAACACATCCCATCTGAAACCGACTCGATGATTTGTTCTGATGTCTCAAGGTGCACCTTTCACCAGCATTTGCCTGCGTCTTCATGACCTCGGCAATGAAACTGACCACTTCGAAATGCAGGAGCACCGACGTTGTTTAAAAATGACCAAGTTGTGCAGTTGTTGAGGTGGGTCAAGGTCAGCCTTAGTACTGCCTTATACAATGCTCGACATATTGAGCAATCCAGGTGAACTTATCCTTCGCAGCAACTCCAATGCCAGAAGGGTATGAAGGTGGGCGCTAGCGTTTTCGCAAGATGCACGTCGTCTGTATTCACTCATTGTCGACGAATGAGTTGGCTAGCCTGCCAAAATAAGGTACTTCGAAATGGTCCAGTGTCTCGACATCTCGGTAAGCATGGAGCGAGAGAAAGCCGATCAAAATCAGGTCGATTGCGAACAGCATCCAGGAGAGCACCTTTGACCAGGACAAGATCAAGTGAAGGAAGAATATAGCTGAGAAGAGCATGCTAGACTGCCACGCATGAAACCGGACATAGTCGCTCTTGTGCTCGAACAGGAGAAGAAAAACACCCCCGGCCGGTGGAAGGACCAGGTATGCCAACATTGCTTCATAGTCCACTCTTAAAGGCAGGCTTGTCTCGAAAGCTTCCAAGCTCTGGTCCCTATGTTCCCCGGTAAACGACGGCCTAGGCGGGAAATCATTCGCAAAGGCACTGGGAGGAAGCAATGGTGGCAGTGACTGCGTACCAGCGCTGGCACGGGTGATGGGCTGGATGGGTCTGTTCGGAGGAGGCGACCGGACGCGAGGCGAATCGATCGAAGTGCGAGGGGGAGGTGATAGAGCACGTTCTCTATATACTTTTGATTAACAACTTTGTCCGCCCATCTTGATCTCCAATTTATGTCGTGGCAGCAACTCACATTTCTGGCGAAGCATCCTGGTACGGTGCGAAATTCATTGTTTACTTTCTCCGCAGTTGGTCGTGTCTCCAGACGCGGACTGGACTGTGAGAAGGACGAGTGACAAGTTGTCTTGTGCTTGTTGTAAAGCGAAGTGGTTCCGTAGAAGATCTTCCTCTAAACGGTATGGAGAACTAGAATTGGCCCAACAATGAACCTTGTCTGTTGCGCAGACCAGGCTGCTTCATTCACATCTCAAACCATAATAAATTGGGAGAATCAAGCTGATGCTCCTTTCGGCGACCGCCTTGGGGGGTCTTGTGCTCTCGTCCCCTTGCTGCTTTTAGACCGCTCTACAACGACGACCTCACCTTCACATTCCGTGCTTTGTCTCCGGTTACTCACCGCTCGCCTGGTAAAATTATGACTTGAGATGATGATACCTAGCTAGGTATTTGCCTGCCCGTGCTTGATAGGTACATCTCCTTCCGGCTTGTTGTTGTACATGCAGCACTTCACTTTTGGAGGTAAGGTTTGACTCAGGCTACATACTTGAATACAACACACCAGTGTGGCCAGGAGCACGGATTTGGTCGATAGCTCAGTCTTCGACTTTGGGGTTCCTAAGACTTGCATTCTACATCTGAACTAGCTGCGCAGAGGCTCCTCCTGTCAGGCACTGAAATGTGCCTTTTGACTCCAGCAGAAAGAACCCATACCTGACAACTTGTTATCGCCGCGACGAATTTGCTTGCATGCTGTGGTCTCTGCCGCCATCAGCTCCGTAGGTGTGCTTCTTCCCCAGGCACATCTGACCTTTCTCCCAGTAATTACCCCCCATCAGTACCACGGCCGCCCACAGTATACTGAACAAATATGATCCCTCCCCGACTCGCGGTGTATCTCGGCGAAAGTGGGCAAAACACTGGTCGACATGACCACCGTTTTCGACCTCGTCAATAGCTGCAAATATGGGAGCCAGACTGCTTTAGCGCACTTCAACTTCGCTTCCCTGGCGGACTCTGAAGGGTGGGATTAGATGAACTCCCACCTACCTCGCGCGCATCGTGGCGGACAATGCGACACCAGAACAATCTATTTTACGGGTGAGCCGTGAGAAATAGTCTCGTATGTTGGGAGGCTCCCGTTACCGAATCCCCAGGGTCTGTCTTTTGATTTCCAGGGGTGCCAAGGGTCCTGACGAGCTTGCGTTCGTCCCTGGCATCTGTTGGGTACAACAAAACCCCGTCGTGAGCCCGAGCGGCAAAGATGAAACAAGGCAATCCATCAATGGAAGCCGCAGATTTCAGCCACGGCCTCTCGAGGCCCTACCCGTTGTCCCTCGACCAATTCCTGAGCTGGCTCTTCTAGCGGAGGCTGTGCCTCGCCTTATACCGCTGGTGTTAGACCCTCCTACCTGTACGTAAGCCGAGGACTGTGCGGTTGCACCACCTCTTCCGGCAGCACCGATCCTGCCCGGACCTCGCGCAGTCCCTCTTGTGGGTTTGGTGGCTGTCTCAACTTTATGTCGCTCTTCCTCTTGAGCCTTTTTGGCTTCTGCCTTCTTTCTCTCCTCCTCAGCTTCTCGTCGATCAGCAGCGCGCTGTTTCTCCAGGGCTTCCTCTTCAATATCCGCGATATCTTGACTGGCGCCTTGCCATGAAGGGTCAAGGATCAGGCGTTGGTTATGCTCTGTTTGGGATAGAATTTTGGTCCATGTATTCAAGAGACTTGAGGCAGCTGAGACGGTGTTGTTCACTGTCTAGTACTCGAGTTAGTGAGGACCATCAAATATAGAGGAACCACAGGTTGAATCCTTACTCTCATATTGCTTTTGGCCTTGTGGAGGCTCTGAATAACACCTTCAATAGCCTCATTAACCTGTCTCACGCTCTGTAGTTCTTGACGCAGGCTTTCTTCATATTGTTGTTGTCCTTGGTATGTGTGCTTCGCTCTATGGGCTTGTTTGCCCGCTGTTTCTTGTTCTGCAGGGGCATGCCAGAGACTGTCTGCAGAGTCATCGTCCGTGAGGACTGAAGAGTTGTGATCCATGATGCAGAAGAGCAGCGTCTGATTCTAGAACAAAGAGGATGCCGTTTATATGCATGGTATGATGACGACTAGAAGTGCGCCCACAATGACAAGATACACATAAAGCCGCTTTACGCGTAGTTTCGAGACGAGGCGCGTCTCGCCCGGGACGAGAAACCCGAACCCTGAATGCCCAGACCTGCAAGCCACGACTGCGCTTGCGCCGGGGAATGTGCTGTTCCCAGCCACTCACCCCAGCAGTCACTTCACCAGACGGAAGCCCAACCTCCAACAAACTCCTCGACCTCCATCTAGCACCGTCCTTTGCGATGCAGTCACCTTATTGTTGTTGTAACTTGTTCTTGCTTACTGCTTTTGACTGAGCTGCATTGCATCTGGAGAGCACACTCTTGCGCTGAATTTTGGAATTGGTTTTGCAACTCTTCACTCTGAACCTTGGGTCTGGCAGAAACATTGATCAATTGCCGGTGAATTCACTGCTGCATGTGCGCCTCACAAAAATGACTTCAACACCGCCTCTTCAAATCGCATCGACTCCTCAGACTCCCCAAACTCCTTTACATGGCGCCGCTTACGATCGTTCTCATACCCATCCTGATCGAAGGGCTACAAGAACAAGCTCTCGAATTGCGTCCGCCAATCTTCACACCACTCCCGACAGGCGCGACAACATACCTGAAATTGAAGCCCCAGTGACCACTCCGCGATCGTCAAGGAAGTCAAGACCCAGGGTCGCACCTGGAATTCAATCGCCAGAAGCGACACCAAAGCACAAGGCACCTCGTCGCGTCCAAGTCATCTCACCTCCATCCCCCGACACCCTTCCTTCGACCATCGACAAACTACCTCATTCCAAGTCGCATCTTCAACCGCTTGCATCTTCCTCCACTACGATTTCCGACGGCATGCTTCCCACTCCCGTCAAAACTCCGAGGAAGAAAATGGTTCCTCAAACAAGTAACCCTGCTCGTGCACTTTTCCAAGACAATACCCTAAATGTGAACGACTTGGTGGACTTTGAACCGAGCCCAAAAAGGAATCGAAAGACTAAACGCTACAATGGCTTCTCACTTGAAAGCTTCTCTGTCGAGAACGATGACAGCCGCGGGCAAGTTCAGATTTACACCGATTCTCGTGATAGAATTCCTCATGTCGACAACAGCGAGTCAAACCCTTTCACTGAGCCAAATATGAACGGAGAAACTTCGTCCACCCGAAAAATCGCTGGAACATCTAAACGTCGCAAGGTTAGTGGGGAGCGAAAGAAGCTTGATCCCCAAGTCGAAGAGGCTATTGAGAAGGACGATGGCATGGTTTATGTATTGTAAGTCGCTTACTCTCCCGTCCCAAGTTTCAATGCTGACTACTTCAAGCCGCGGCAAGAAAGTCTACCGACGATTTGATGATGAGGAGGATGAAGAAGAAGACATTGATACTGGTGACCTCGGTCTCTTGGAACACACGCCCAAAGGTTCCGATGTTAAGCGGCTTCGAACACTTACCCGTCGGTCAATCAAGCCCAAACGTCTTTTCCAGACTGAAGCGCAGCAAAAAGCACGGGAAGCAGAACGCGAGGAGGAAGCTCTGACTGACATTGAGGAACCGACTGATCAGAAGGAAGATGCATCAGCGGCAATCGGCAACAGTACCTTAAGCGACATTTCCCCAATGTCAAAGACGAAGAGATCTCTTCGCTCAAGTGGACCAGCCCCTTTGATTTCCGAAGAAGTCAAGTCACTAGATACCGGCCGTCGTTCACAAAAAGCCAGTCCTTTCGATTCCTGGCCCAGACTCAAAAGCGGTGGGCGCTCGATGGCTGGCACTCCCAAGGGAAAGAAGCGCGGCGCAGCGGATATATTGGAAGACAGCGTTGGGGCCATAGGTGTCGAAACCAAAAAGTCAAGGACCTGAGACGGTGCATCTCAGCATGGAATGGTGTTGCTTTTTGTTGCGTACAGCAAATTCTTCTTGACTGTGGATTACTAGGATTGTATAAGATGTGGTCTTGGACACAATAGTGGCTGCTTTTCAGACGTGGATTCAAGCAAGGTGGTGTTGCTTCTACCAGCATTATTTTGCGTGCAAGGCTTTTGCTATTCTCGGGGGCTTTTCCTCATGACGTGCATGTGGTGGTATTCCTGAATGAAATATCTTTTCTTCAAGTTCGCACCTATATGCTCAAGAGATGTGTCTCAAAGACTGTCTCTAGTTAACTTTTTGAATAAAACTGCTTGGTTAACATAGAGATGCATCATCGACGCCCAAATCCAGACAGGTCAAAAGTATCTGGAAGGATGCACGTGTCCTTCTTCTCGAGTTTGCGCACGTGATGAAGCGTGCCAAGGCTTCATGCCCAAACAGACTGGTCGCCTGCCAATGACTGGCCGATGGACTCCAACTCCATGTTCCATGCAAAGAGGCCAACACCAACACCAAACTCACTCCTCTCTTCCCCCCCGATGGTTCCTGCATCTTCACTTTTCCATCAACTTATTCCTTCTCTCAGTCACCCGTTGTACCCGACACTTCTTACTACTTTTAGATTGACCTGTTACCTCTCTCTTACAAGCTACCTAAACCTATTGTACAACGTGGCTGATCTGCCCGCAAACCCTTCTCACTAGCACCGCCCTTTTCCAAGGTCATGAATGCTTCCCATGATCCTCAGTCCTGCCGCGTCCGGCCCCTCCTCGCTTTCAAAGATATCCGCGACTCAGATTCTCCTGCTGCTTGATACAATCAGTGAAAGAGAGGGAAAGGCAAAGTGGGACTCCAAGCGGGAGAAGATACAGCGACTGCTCGATTCTAACGGCATGGAGGTCTTTGCCCAATTCTTCAGGCGAACCATCACCCTGAATACTGCCGCCATTTTCCAAGGTGCGAAAGACTTCGATCAGGGAAGCTATAAGCTACTGCGTGAAGAGTTGGAAAAGGTCGCCTCGGACCCAGAACAGCCATCAAAGATTGCCGAGGCCATTGATACCTCCAAGGAAGACTCGTTCCGCGACTTTGACCTTGTGACCTTTATCCAACATTTCTTCGCCGATACCCTTCCTCAGGTTATTCTGGCCGTTGCCTTCACAAAGTGCACCCGCGTCGACCTGAGAACAAAAGCGGAAAGTTTTCTCGCCGAGTTCGCTCAGAGCTCTCTGCGTTCCCTGTCGGAGAGGCGCGGTGAGAATACACAAACATTCGCGGTCGAGAACATCTGCTCTGTGATCGAATACTTTGCCCTAGCCGCTGCGACGACTACGCAACAGCAGAAAGATGATCTATGGCGTGCAGTCATCAGTCGATACACTGGTTCTAAACCAGAACAATTCTTTGGTGCCTACCAGCTGCTACGCCTATCAGTCGAAGCTCGAGATATCGCTCGCGGTCTACAACGGCACGGACCTAAGGCGGTCGCCTCAGAACAAGCCGCACAGGATTTTCTAGCTTCATTACCCACAACGAGTGTCACAGAGGCAGAAGTAGCCAATGCTCTACTATTCCTCGTCTTCACCATCAATCAGCAGTATGATATTTCAAATTTGGTAGAGGCTCTCCGGACAAAACAGCTGGACTGGAACCTGGTCATTCAAGGATTCGATATCCCGGGTCTCCGTATGCGGAGGAACGATTTCCCAAGGTTATACAGATCTCTGCTGCATGTGGCACAGGATAACCCGCAATTTGATCTCCAGAAACTCTGGGGAGGCAGATGGGCGAACCCAGACACGCAGATTTCCTTCCTTGGCGGATTTCTCGCCTCTTCATCCTCGGAAACTCAGCCAACTACAATACCCCGACTTCGCGAGACTTTACCCGCAGAAGACTTGAGCAATTTCTCTCCCGAAATGACGCGATTGATCACCCCGGAGCTCGATGGTCCATATGTATCTGCCGATGCTTGTCAGGCTATTTTCGAAGTCGTTCTGGGACCCGGTACAGGGGCAGATGGAGAAGACCGAATCGACATACTGCAGGACGTATACCACAATCACCCAGCCATCTTCCTCCTGTTTCTAGCGAGGACCAATGCAAAATCATGGGTGCCAGACCAGGAAAAGTTCATTGCTGAGTGCTTCAGCTTGTTCCTCGAAAAGCAACGCCCAGACTATCGTCCTGTTCTTGAAACGCTCGCGTCTCAGTATCCTCAATACCTGTTCGAGCTTTGTCATATCGTCTTTTCGCTCGATCCACGACAAACAGAAGTGATATACGAACGCGCTCAAGAATTCGGGTGGACCGAGGAATTTCTCAAACATTGGTCCAACCCCCTGGCTCTCGACATAGCCTGCATGCGGAACAAGATCGACCCAGGATTCGATCTGGATAGGTATCTGTCTGAAGCAGCTGATGGGCAGACAAATCTGGGCATGATTCTTTGCAAATACCTACGGATTAAGGCAGACGACGAATTTCGCGTCCAACGTGGCGAAACCACGCCACAGTCTATTCCGCTCACGCTGCGAAGCGTACATACGCTCCTGGAGAAACTCGAAGACCACTTGGACAATCGCGAGTTGGTTGAGGCGGCACAGACTACGTGCTTGCAGACGTATCCGCGGTTGATGAACTACGGGGCCGGATTCGATGATATTTTGGAGAAAAGCAGTGAAGAGAAGGGCAACAAACTTTCCGAAGTCATTGATAAGCAAATGTCGGAATTGTTCGGTCGAATGTATCGATCAGAGCTGTCGATCCGTGACATGGTGAACGAAATGCGGAGATATAAGACTTCTCGAGATCCAGATCAGCAGGATCTCTTCTGCTGCATCGTCCATGGATTGTTCGATGAGTATGTTTGCTACAATGAGTATCCGGAAGATGCACTCGAGAAAACAGCCCTCCTGTTTGGGAGCATTATCAAGTACAAACTGCTCCCTTCAATCCCCCGAGACTTTGGCCTCGCTCTTATACTTCGGGCTGTTCGCGATCATGAACCCGACAGCCTCATGCACCGTTTTGGCATCGAAGCATTACTCCAGATCAGCGATCAACTCTCTGAATGGCCT